AGCCCACTTCTATAAATTGAAAAGCGACTGCTACACTACCAGAGGCCACACCATCTTGGCCTTCATATCTTCACATCATGGAATGCTTCAATTAGATCGCAAATTGAAGTATAAGAAGTCAGTAGGATCTCAGCTGGCCACCTTTCTAGGTTTAATGTTTTTGGTGATTTTTCGTGAATAATGGTTTATGGCCCTGGCGATGTCCGTCACAGGACGGACGAAAACTCAGCACGGAATCATCGTGGTCGTTGGACGGTGAGCAGAGGTTTTCTTTCCACAGTCCAACAGACAAAAGTCCAAGGCAACCCTCCTATGGTATACGGTGAGACCAATCTACGAATCCTTTCGACCCGCCTTCTCAAACGATATGACAGGTACGCCAGTATCCCTTCTGATTGTCGCAGTCACCTTCCGATTTATCGAAGTGGGTTGACCTCGTTTTCGCAAATTGATCTTATTGTCAGTGGGATTTAGTTGAACGAACTTTGCTCGTAGTCCTTCTCTAGAGTAGTTATCATAATTCCCAGAATCAGACCGTGAACTTGTTACATTCGCAGACGCTTCTCCGGCATCGTATTTGACCAAGACCAAGTTGCGAAAAAGAGGTCAACCCATATTTATAATTTAGTTTCAGCTAGCTTAATGTCAGCCTATAATCTGATATAATGTAAATAATTTATTTATGCTCTGAAACACTGGTTTACATTGAAATTATTAACTTGGATTTTCTCTTTGCTCCAATTGTTTATTTAGCTTACCTTTTATTCATGAACTCGCGTACCCATTTTCTCCTCAACCTCGTGAAGCGGGAGTTTCTATTTTGTGTGCCATTGCTTTGAACTGCTCTAACCGCAAGAAGAGATTTTACGGCCCCTTTAGAAAGACTAGAATTTGGCGCTAACGGCCGAGTTCCACGCTGGTAGGGCAATTTTGAAGTCCGAAGACTGTCTCTACAGCTTTCTGCTTGAACGGCTGCGTGCTTAAGTAATGGACTATTCTCCGTTTCTCCTTTCCTCTCCTCCTGGTGTTCATTGATGTCGGCAGTTTCGTCTTCACTTAGCGTCCGCTTTAGCAGTTCTACTTTTGTGGTAGTGGGAGATACTTGGGGGAGATTTTGAGTCTCGAGAGAAGCTGATTGCTCCAAAAGTTCATTGTGATCACCTTGTGAAACGATAACACTTCCAAGTTCCAGCTTTTGGGTCACTTTGAAGCTGGAGTCATCCTTCTGATTATGAATGGTAGGATTCCATGTCATCCAGACTCGAGAGCGTGAAGAAGTTGGAGAAGAGGGTAGCAGCACGGCCTCCTTCATTTGATCAGTGCTACGATACGTGTTGTCAAGCGATCCTATGCCAACTCCATTTGGTGCTGTCATTCTTTTGAGCAAGGCAGGAGCCTAAGTCGATCTGCTAACGGAGGATGTTGAAAGCTATTCACCGGTACAGCTAATAGCAGTTCAATCGGTATTAGTCCAGGTGCTTTGGAATGTACTAAACTTAGTTGGATACCTAATTACTTCAGCAACAATCCAATGATCAATGCCAATGAAAAACTATGTCTTTGAAAATGTAACTTTGGAAAAGGGAGAGCAAAAGAATGGTTAAAGGCCACTCGTCGCTTAAGCATACAGAAAAAAGTATGCAGGTGCTTATCTGGTGCGCAAGTGTACCCGCTAATGCATACATAAAGCTGCACCTTTTTACCCCGTTTATAATATAAAGCATGCGAGCTTTGGAGATTTCTTGCGTTTGGTGGCTGAAAGATATGTTCATTTAGACTCCTTTAATTTAATTTTATGAAAAATATATTGTGAAGACGGAATTCGAATCATTTTTTAATCAATCGATCCGACTTTATTAAAGGTGTAACTTTATCTGTTCTAATTCCCCACTGGTGAATTCTCTTGTATCATGCATTCACCCAAGAGTAACGCACACCTATACTTGTCCGGATGTGAGTATTTCACTGTCATTCTAGGACTGGCAGTAACTGAGAAAGCCATTTTTTGGCAATAGTATATGTCTGTCTATACTTCCTGCATTATATATGCATATAACTATCTGATTATAATTTTCTTGATCAAACTAAGTAGTGGTAATCGTGCTTTATGATTCGGAAGTCTTTTTAATTGAAAGTCGCCAGGGCTTCATCTAAAAAGGTGACATCAGACGTACTCTATATCAGTTACTAGTGGTGCTTATGAAATTTGTTGCTCACGTAGAATAAGCAAATAGTTTCTTAAATCCCCTTTTAAAACATAAGGGATGGCTTAAATGTTTACAAACGTGATTGATGAAGCTAGGTTG